GGTTACTTTGATCTGTGCAGTTAAGATTATGTTGTTGAACATGGTTTTATACTGTATCTATTGATACAATGTTTGACTTGAAGCAATAAAAATGTTGTTTTAACATGATTTTTTGTGTGTTGAATGATTGGTAGTGAAGACGATTGGTAGGACTAAAAAAACTGAGTTGATAGAACTCAACTTGCAGATAACACTACAAAATCTGAGTTTGTAGAACTCAAAATCTATATGTCAAACTCATAAAACAAAGTTGATAGAACTCAGAACTTAAAGGTGAAACTCAAAAACCTAAGTTGGTAGAACTCAAAATTTCTATGTAACACTCCAAAAACCTAAGTTGGCAGAACTCAAAAATCTTTGTAAACTCAAACACAGTGAATTTAAGTAAGGAAAACTCAAAAAACCAAATGCATCACGTTGCCTAGAAAATTTAAGTTCTGTCAACCTCTATTTTTTTTTCAGTGTACTGCGTATTTAAAAATACAGCGGGGGCAAAACTGAGTATGACTGTGCTTTATTCATGTATTTATAACAAAGTAGCCTATTAATCAAACCTGGGAGCTGGCCGTGAGACAGACACATTGCAGATGACACAGAGCGCTGTGATCACTCCTAAATTAACTTCAAATCCTGAAACCTGCCGACGGAATATGTTCGCTTTTATTACCGGTATCCTGGTGCCTGCAGTTTAAATTATTTAGATGAAAAACACCTGCCAGCCACCGCGTGAACCCAGAGGCTGCCCAGCCTAGAGGCTGCTGATGAAAGGATTTCTACTGTCGGTGCACCGCTGGTATGTGGGGGTCTGAGCGCCTCCGACAGAAATAGATAATCTGGATGAACTGACTGCAATTATTAAGTTTTCAGGTGGACTTTCTCACTTAAAAACATATTAAAACTACTTTATTCCCACTGATCACAGCAAATATAGCTGCAAGATTTAGATTATTTAGATGAAAAACACCTGCCAGCCACCGCGGTGAAGAGGAGGAGACCCGGCCCAGAGGCTGCTGTTGAATTAAGTTTTCAGGTAGAAAAATAGAGCGGGAGCAAAACTGAGTATGATTGTGCTTTATTAATGTATTTATTACAAAGTATTAATCAAACCCATCAAAGTCATCCTACTCTGTTTCTGAATTAAACAGCTACGCTAAATCAGACATGCCAATTTCCCTTCTTCGCTGTCAGAGTCACTTTCCTTGCAGCGCGGCTCCTCAGAAATAATGCCGGCTTTTGCAAAAGCTTGAACAACAGAGCCAGCAGACACGTTAGTCCAAGCATCTGCAATCCATCCGCAAACGGTGGCGTAACTTGCCCGGCGCTGCCTTCCACTTATCCTGAAACTGTGGTCTCCGTCTGTCATCCACCGCTCCCACGCCGCTCGCAGCCTTACTTTGAACGGCCGCTTCACACCGATGTCGAGCGGTTGAAGTTCCTTTGTCAGACCCCCCGGGATAACGGCGAGCACAGCGTTCATTTGATTAATCTTTTTTTCACATCGGCTGTGAGATGGGCACGCAGCGATGGTGATGCGTGGAAAAAACCACCTGGTCTCCTCACATACACCTCCCTCAGCCACGCTTTCATCATCTCCTCATCCATCCAGCCTTTTTCATTTAATATCATGTGTCATCAGAGCGCTGTGTCTGTCTCGCTGTCAGCTCCCGGATCAGCTTCTCTGATTGGTTGATGCGGCGCGTCCAGCAGCAAAACTTCAATTTTTCCATCTCGAGCAGCAGCAGCGCGTTGGCGGTGCATCAGATGCTTAAACGCTCCCGACGTGCTGCACCAAAACGCGCTGCGGGACCTTTTGCTGCACCTATACGCGCGTCAACCATTGACTTTGCATGTAAACTCGCTGCTTCTGCTGCACCTGCTGGGTCCGGTTCACACCGATGTCGAGCGGTTGAACAGCGAGCACAGCGTTAATTTGTTTCCCCATGTTTTTCACATCAGCTGTGAGATGGGCACGCATGGAGTCACATATTAACAGCGATGGTGATGAGTGGAAAAAAAACACCTGGTCTCCTTACATTCAGCCACTCTTTCATCATCTCCTCAATGAGGTGGTCTCAAAAGTCGCAGTTACAACACACATAGGGCGCACCGCACATTTTGAGGGAAAAAAAAGACGTTTAAGTGCGCCTTATAGTCGTGAAAATACGGTATATAAAAAACGAGGAATATCAGCAGAAAACTGGAACCTAAACATTGCAAATGGAACGCACCATAAAAAAGGGGGGTAAAAATCGTAGCTTTAAAATCTCTTTATAGTCCAATCATGATTTCTCTCTAAATATATCAATTAGAAATCATTATTTTGGTATATTCTATATGGGAGTTGACAAGATCGATAATGAATAAAAAAAAAATAGAGTTTAAGATCCAATGTCATCTTTTTTTGACCAGTGAGATGAGAAAGTGCTACGAAAAAAATTGAGTTTTGAGGTCAAAAATAAGGTCTTTATTGTAAGGAACATAGCTATCAATCATACATTCATGTTTAGCTCAACGGTCATGCAAAGAAAAAAGTACATGACTGTTTGCCTAGAGATACTATTAGTTCATGTTTTCCATTTCTAACTGACAGTAACAAAAAACTAAAAAAAACACAACTAGATACTAAAGCAGGAGTTTATCAGATGCCAAGTTTCTTTAAAGGAAACTGAAAGAAAAAAATGAATAATACAACATCTGTTCACTCAGCCTGTATCACAGCACAAACAGAAAATCCAGGCGATCGCTGTGCAACATTATGATGGAGCTTTTTTTTTAAGGGTTTCACATATTTGAAGAAAACATTTTCAAGTTGCACTTTATTTGCAAAGGGGATTAGCAGAACGGGTGTGAGCCTCAGTTTCACTCTAATGACCTCTGTGCTGTGATGGGGTCAACGGTGGGAAACAAAGTTGAAGCAAATAAAAAAAGACGATGACAGTGATAACCTTTTAAACCCTAACTGGTTAATATATTTTTATTTCATTCCCATACTGTAGCTACTCGTGTATAAATATATTAGCTGTATTCATTCAATCTATGCAGTGTCTGAGGGGCGGGTTCTGGTGTCCATCTCCGGCAGTCATTGGTTTAGAAGGTGGTACACCCTGTACAGTAGCACAGCCTATGGCTAAATAGAAATATGATGTTTTTATTTTAACCTTTGTGTTCAAGGTGACAGCTTTATGTCTGTAGAGAGCCCTCATGCAACCCTCCAGTCTGCAGGTTGTGCATCAGTAAACAGGTTGAAAAATATTTACCGCTGCAAGGAGAAGAAACGGAATTACAGTTTATCATCAGAGGAGAGTTTGGAAAACTCATGTTCAGCCGTCCGTTACCGCAGCAGACAGAGTCGCTTATGTGGACATTAGAAGAAAGCTGGAATAAGCATGAACATGTATGAAGAAAACAAAAATTTTATGAGCACTGTCACTAGAGGCATGTGTCCTTGGGAGTTATTTGGAAGTGATTAAACAGAAAACAGAGGTTCTGTTGTAAGGAGATATTTTAAAATCCAAGCTTTAGCTCGCACTTTATAACAATGCCTGGATTTTTTTTTAAAGACCTCCAGAGGGAAATGCAATGAGTAGCTTGCAAATTTCCTGCATGGAAAATCACTGATATTTGCAAAAGTCCAGAATGGTTGAGTTTTTCTCACCCAAACTTTCAGCTGATGCTCAGCAGGATCTACCAAAACAATATGAGGCAAGTTGATCGCCATCTACTTAGATTGAAGCATAAGTATCCAGTAGTTTCAGATCAGTCAAAATAAGTATAAAATTAAAAAAAAGGTGTATTTGAACTGCATAGAGTTAATTGGAATAATTAATTAATCACTTAATAGAAAGTTCAATAACGATGTTTTTTTTTATATGCTTATTTTGCTGTTTATAAAATGTATCATGCAAAATGGGCAAAATTACAAAAGTATTGCTAAGTTTTCTTTCTGTTAAATGTGTTATAATATATAACTGGGTAAAATAATCTTCGCTTCAACCTGAAACTTTTTGGTAGTTTGCTTTATGCTTCATGATCAGGTTTTTTTCTTGAAGTGGAAAATAGCAATCGACCAAAATAAAAATAAAAATAAAAATACAGATATTGAAAAAAACCTTTTTTACTCATTTACTGCTATCAAAAACATGTTACCTGCATTGATAACTGAAAATAAAACCCTTTCTACCCTTTAAAACAGCTTAGAGCATCTTTTTACTACCTTACATACGGACATCATTTAATTTTGGGCAGTTTTAAAATTTGACTAATGAATATCAGAGCAAAACTAATAGCAATGTTGAATCATAAATAATGTGCTGTTGGCTTTTTCTCTGGTGCACATGTTGAATAATCTTCCTGTCTCTTATTTCATAAGGTAAAAAGTTCAGTAATTCAGATCTACAAAAATGACCAGGTTATGTTTTTAATACCGATAAGTGATTGAAAACAATAATATCATATAAACACATATATCTTATTTACTTCTACATAATTGTTTAATATGGTTTGATTGTTTGTAGGAAAGTCTGACTGGTTCTTTTAAATTTGAGGGTGGGGGGGGATTTGCCCTCAGGCCTCCCAGCACCTTGGGCCGGCTCTGGAGGGTCAGACCTAAACCTGCGCTTAAAGGGCATCTAAACAGCCTCTAACACACCGATTGATTTACCAACAGTGAGTAAAATGACTATTTTAGTGGTTTGGGTTTGTATTTAATGACCAGCCGTGGAAGCAAAGCGCCATTTCTCATCCCGCTGCGTGGAAATATTCTCTGCAAAGATCCGCTCTGCTTTATTATGAGGAGCTGTTGCACAGCGAGTCTGGTTGCCACAGCAGATTTACACAGGCGCGTCCACAGGCCACGCAAACTCATCCAGCCTACAGCGATGATGAGGCTGTAATGCCCGGCGTGGCGCCGCGGAGGAGACATCCTGCGCGTAAAGGCTGATGAGCGGCCTTTAACAGAGAAGCAGACCGGGAATAACAGCAGAGAGGTGGAAGGACCTTACCTCAGGCAGTGTTTGATCCGAAGAAGAGCCGGGTGTGGTTACAAAATATCCTCAAGCTTTTGAAGCGGCGGGGACGACGTGGAGAGGAATGCCATGACGTGCGCCCCGTCCATAGGGAGAGGAGGGAGGATGCGTCAGATGAAGAACCGGAGAGGAGGAGATGGTCGTCTGGGGGAGAAAAGGGGGTCGTGTCGTTCCCTCTTCTGCTTGTCACCACAGCATCTCGTTGCGGATCCGTGACGTGACAGCTCCACGGTGGTCATCCGGTTTGCTGCGCGCGGGGCCGATCTGATCGCCCCTCGCAACAGCTCGGTCGCGCGCTTGGCAGACATTTAAAGCGCGCCCACAGTCACCCGTCCCACGCACGCGCAATAGACCATGTTTAAATCTGTTTTTAGATTATCATACTTTTAAAGACGTATGTTTTATGTTAAAAAAATCAAAAGAAAACGAATTATTTTACTAAATTCTTTGTATCTATTTAATGGTTAGTTTCCAACGCCCACCACTAGAGGGAGCCAGTCAGCATTGGACTGCACACCTTCAGTTTAAGAGTCGAAATTCTCTTATTTATTTATTTATTTTTACAGCACGTTGAAAATGTACAAACATGACTGTAATCTGTATAACTCAAGATATGATGGGAGATATAATTTTTTTAAATATTATAATCAGTAATAGTAGTCACTGCCAACAATGGGTCTACATGTGTACAGTTCAGTGGCAGGAAGTAAAGCCCCTCACACTGACCAAAGCTGGCTTCCTGTGTATATTAGTCAAACACCAAGAAGTGCATATAAAAAATATTAAATGCAAATTAAATGTGGTTTCAAAACCTTTTGAAAACAAAAATCTGAAAAGTGTACAGTCTCCAGCGACAGATATTATCTAAAAATTAAGTTTCAGTCGTTCCTCCATCTGACAGTGTTGAAGGAAAGCAGTTGCACAGCATGATGCAGCCACCACCATGTTAAACTGTGGGGCAGGTTTTCAGTGTGTCCAGCATTTTGCATGTCAGCCAAGCAGTATCAATTTTGGTCACATATGACCAAAGCTTGTGGCAGATTCCTTCACCTGAGTGGTGGATTTAGCTCTCCCTTAGCAAAAAGTAGTTTATTCAAGTATACTTAAAGTGCACTAATTTTATACTTAAAATCAGGCAGTGCACTTATAGAGTTTACTTATTCTAAACTATATTTCATATACTTAACAATAGTATAGTCAAGTGTACTTGACTATACTATTGTTTACTTTATTGTTTACTAAAGTATACTTTAAGTATACTTTTGTAAACTAAAAAATGTCCCAATTTAGTTCGAAGAAGTATTACTTTAGTAATACTTCAAGTACACTGAAAGTACATTGTTGGTTATACTTTCTAAACTTAAACTTAACTTTTCTTAATAGAATTTACTTCAAGTATACTACTTTTTGCTAAGGGGGGGCTGCTTATCTAATTATTGCAGGTTTATTATTGGCCACTTCCTATAGCTGAATGATAATATATTTCTAATTGTACTTCCTTGCAACATTATTTCTATTTTTCAGCCAGTGGATAAATCAGCACTTCAAGGGATGTCGAAAGCATAAAGGGAGACTTCAACAACCATATTTCTAACATCTCAGTCAGCGTTATCAATTATTCTTTCAATACTGTTCTGTAATTGACATCCAAGCACTAAATTGTGCAGGTATATTTATAATGAGTCCATTAGGGTCGGACTACGAGGACACTCCAGGTAGCAGGTGGTTTGTCCATCTATTTGCAAAAACAATCAACCTAAGTGGAGCTTATTCATATTCACTTAGGGACTTCTTCAGAGCTTCTCATTTTCTCCAATCCTGTATTTTTAGAGCTACAAGGCCACCTCCAAATCAGCTGCATGCACCTGTGACCACATTTGCTGAAAAAGGGGGGAAAAAGAGGTTTTGTTGGACTGTACCAAAACTCTGATGATCTGGACACAAAAGGAAATTCCACATAAGGTTTGTTGGATGGGCAGCATCAATGTTAACAAAGGAAACAAGAAAAACATTCAAAGCCATCTGAAGTTGATGTCAAAGGTGAACACTGCTCAAAAAGTTGTTGAAGAAAAGGTCGACTCCAACTCAACAGTATAATCATTGGGGTTTCTTTGTTTTTTATAGATAACCAATGCCTTTGAGTCAGAGGCATCTTATCCTTGACACTTCTCACTTTGCTAAGTCACAGAGGATTATGGTCTGAAAATATTAATCGAACCAATTCTAAAAGAAAGGTAAAGTTTCCCAAACCGAACATCACAAGTATGCCCTGTCTTTGAATACCAGAAGCAGGACCGTGGAAAAGAGGCTGCCCTGGAGAAACCCATAATACTCTTTGACCAAATTATGTTTTCTTTTTTGAAAGATAGTGCTTAAAGGTACCCTTACCCCCCCATACTAGCACATCAGTGATGGCAGCCCACCTGCCCCCACCCATCCTCACCGCCTTCTACAGAAGCACCATAGAGAGCGTTCTGACCAGCTGTCTCACTGTGTGCTGTGGAGGCTGCGCCTCAGACTGGAAGAAGGTGAGAAGAGTGGTGAGAACAGCAGAGAGGATCATCAGGGCTCCTCTTCCCTCCATAAAAGACATTTCATCCCGAGCCCCTCCATGGACTGTTCTCCCTGCTGCCTTCTGGGATTTGATGCAGGTCCAGCAGATTCCGAAACAGCTTCTTCCGCACCGCCATCAGACGGCTGAACTGTTCAGAAAACTCTAAATCAAGTCACAGACTTTGCATCACACTGATAACACCAAACCAAAACACTGCATCATCCCACCATATATATTAATGCTCTGAACTTCCTTATCAGTGCGTTTTTTTTGCACCATGTTTTTCTCCCATACTGTTTATATTTGATCACTGCTGCACTTTGAGAAATGGAAATGTCATGAAAGCTGTTCAAAACGAATTTTCAGCAACAATAAAAGTTGTCTAAGTCTAAGACATCTAAATACTTGTTTGTATGAACTATATGGATCTTATAAAAACATCTCACAGGGAAATTAGAAACGGTTTGATGGTTATTGAGCCTACAAAGCTTGTGTTTGTAATTCCTCTTAACTGTGTGTCTAAACTTTAATTAGATTAACATTTACATATAACAGCCATTGCCTTGTTGAAAGACTTTCCATTAGCTGGAAAGTGGAGTGGAGTAGGAGGGTTCAGATTTTCTGCATTTAATCAAAAATGCAAAAATTAATTTTAGGGATGAACGATATTGGGATTTTGGCCGATATCCGATATGCCGATATTTTAAAACTCATGTAGCCGATAACCGATACCGATACTGATGTTAAAGCTGGACAAAAATAAGTAGTCATTGAAAATAGCAGTTTTGTTATCCATTTCTGACACTTTGAAAAATAATATACTCAAATAAATTTTCATATGCTGATATCAAATAGATTTTTAAAAACGCGGTATGGATCTATTTTACTTTCAAAATCTTGTGAAATTTCATCGTTCTGTTACAAACTCTCGTGATATTTTGCAAATTCTTGTCAGATTTTGTTAGTAAAATAGATCGATACCGCGTCAATATATCAACATATAAAAATATGGCAACATTTCGTGAATTTTCGGGGGATTTCGTAGCATAACGATGACATATAGCAATATTTCATTAGTAAAAGAGATTGATATGGTGTTTTCAAATGGCAATATATCAGCATAGGAAGATATTGTGATATTTTAATGTGTCAATATTTTAAGTTTTTAAGTCTGTAAAAAAGAAGTTTTTGAGGAAGAAGAAGAAGTAGTATTTATTTATTTTTTTTAGACTTTAGAAACTCAGAAGCTGATCAAATATCGGGTTGAATATCGGTGGGGTGGCCGATGTCCGATATTCAGTTTTAAGGCCGATACTGATAAGGGGCCGATTATATCGTGCATCCCTAATTAATTTAGTAAATATCAGACTGGTCTTTCAAAAAAAATCTCTCTCCCTCACTATATATATATATATATATATATATATATATATATATATATATATATATATATATATATATATATATATATATATATATATATATATATATATATTTATTTATTTATTTATTTTTTCTAGCCAAAATCGTTGGCTAGAAATACTTTGTGTTAATTAAGGTTTAATTAACTCACGCATCATCAATGATAATTATCCCAACACTTGTTTGATAATGGTTAATATGTGTATTAACTTAATCCATATTTCGTCGTTGTTTTTTCAAACTGTGAAAAATTGGTTCCTGCATAAAGTACACAATTTCTTATTTTTTTTAAACAACAAATTCATGGATTTTTAAAGATAGTAGCCGTTTTAGTAACACTGAAATTAATGTCAGAGTGGGAGCTCCTGTTTGTCTTGTAATGTCTTTTCGCCTGGTGGGGGGGTCGTTTCTCCTCCAACCGGCTGTAGGAAGCTGGTAGGCAGCTAACAGCTGGCTAAACCTCCGACGTACCTCCCGTATGTCCCTGAAGGCATCGCGCGCGGAGCTGTGAATAAACCCCGCACCTCAATGCATCTCCAGTGGCCGCGATGGCAGCGACATAAACGGTGTGAGCCTTAGCTTTTAGCCATGTAGCTAGCTGGTGTGTCATATGAATGTTAGTGTGATTCGCGTCCTCAGCTGTTTCCGCCAGTAGCTAGCCTTTTTTTTCCTGTCCGGGACAGACGGCGGCAGCTAGCCCCCCCTTTTGTCGCCACTGCAGGAGGATGCTGAAGCTGTTCGGTGCGCTGGTTGTCCTCGGACTGGCCCTGGCATGCATCACCTCCTGGGTGCTGGATAGCTATGACACGGCCTGGCACCCTAAACGCAGCATTCGGCACCCGGCTGATGGAGATGGATCTAAAGGGAACACTCCACCATTTCCTGGCGACGACTTAAACAATATATTCTGGTTTGTACAGGTGGGCTATCGCTTTTAGTCTTTTTTTATTTTTGTAACCATTACATCTGCTCAGGATATAGTCTAAACAAGCCTTCAATTATTTAGTATAAATATGGATTTGGTTTAACTGAGCTAAAAACACATTATTCTTACCATTGCATTGATCCTGGTGGAAAGTTAACCCAGTTTAACTGAAGCCTTTACCTCAGTGCTTCCATAGATATGGTGTGTTTAATGTTATGATTAGGCCAACTTCAATACTGTTCTCATTAGTTCAACAAATCACTTAAAATCACTTTCTTTCTGCTGTTTTCCCATGAGGTCCAGATTTTTGGAGTAATTGACAAATACATGTCTATTACTACCTGAGCATCGGACCTCTGCAGCTCCTCCAGAGCTTACAGCGATTTATTGGTTAGAAATTCTGAAAAAGGCTCTTCATTTCCTACAGAAACAGGGACGGAAAATGGATGGATGGGTGGATGTGTTAGAATAATTAGCATTGATGATCTGTGAGTTTATTATACCCCAAAACTCACCTGCCTGTTGTGTGTCAGAACTAATGTTTCCCCAGTAGTTTATCTAATTAGGACAGTCCCTCTGTCTGGATATACAGTTATTATCTTCATTCTGTAAGTGGAGAAAAGTTGGGAATGGAATGAGAGCGGTGTCCTTCAGCTAAGAATGGAGTGTAATATTTTGATAAGGCTGGAGCCATGTCTCCTCTTCTGTATGATGTAAAATGTAATAATGTGGCAGACAGGAGTTATATAAAATGCTTCTCTAACTGTTTATCGGGCCGTTTCATGAGAAGTGAGCCCCATTGGTAAGCAGCTGCCTTCCGTTACTCAAAGCAACTCTGATCTGAGTAAGATTACAATTTCTATCAAAATCTGTCGTAATGTCTCCTGGTTATTTAATAAATAGATGCAATGAAGTGTTATTTAAAGAGTTTGTCCTGAGTGATTTATTTTTCAGTAAAAGAAAAACGGAGAGAGAAAGCTTCAAGATGTAAACACAGAACTTTCCCTTAACAGATGGATGGAATGAAATCTCAGAGAAATATCAGGGTCTCTGCAGCTCATTAAAAGTCATTAAATTGTTATTTTTTAAATTAAGGCCTTAATTGACATTAAAACTCATTAAATGTGATTATCAAGGCATTTAAAATGCCTTATTAAATACATTTTTTTTTAATATAAACAATTTCGGCAGATATATTGCGATATATTTGCATGAAACTGCTTCCAGTTGATCGTAAAGCTGTATGTTCGGGAAAGAAGCTTGAGGCGGAGAAAAAGCTAGAGAATGGGGAAAATTTCCACAAAACCGGCGGGAAAACGAGGAATTTGGGACATGGCTGCGGCCTGTCGACGATAAAGATGACAAAAGATTTTGCTGTGTATATATGAGATTCATGAGTACTTGTTGATGTCGTTAAAATTCATTAAAAAGCATTAAATAAGAGTTACTCATTCCTGTATAAACCCTGAATATTCTGTTATTTCTGGCTTTAATTAAACAAAATATGAACGTGAATAAGGCGCTTTACACCCTTTCTCCTAATAGGGTTTTTTTTATATTGCTTTTTATCCTGTGTCCAATTCAAGGTGTCGGACATCCACATCAGCCGATTTCACGACCCAAGACGTATTCCAGATTTTGAGAAGTTCTGCACCGACACCATTGAGGTGATCAAACCAGCTCTAGTCCTCGCAACAGGTAAAGTTTTAGGGATTTCTTGTAACAGGTCCTAACGGTACGGTCTAACAGAGGACTCTGTGTTCATTCAGGAGATCTGACAGATGCTAAAACAGAGAGTAAGGTGGGTTCGCTTCAACACGAGGTGGAATGGCAAGCCTACCACAACGTCCTGAAGAGGTCACAAGTGATGGAGCGCACCAAGTGGATTGATATACGTGGAAATCATGGTAGGCAGCCATGCCACGTCGATTTATTCGACTCCGTTATTTAGGAAGTTTTGAGACAAGGTTTTTTCAGAATACCAAAGTACCGTATTTTCACGACTATAAGGCGCACTTAAACGTCTTTTTTTCCCCTCAAAATGTGCGGTGCGCCCTATGGTGCGGTGCGCCCTATGTGTGTTGTAACTGCGACTTTTGAGACCACCTCATTGAGGAGATGATGAAAGAGTGGCTGAATGTAAGGAGACCAGGTGTTTTTTTTCCACTCCTCACCATCGCTGTTAATATGTAACTCCATGCGTGCCCATCTCACAGCTGATGTGAAAAACATGGGGAAACAAATTAACGCTGTGCTCGCTGTTCAACCGCTTGACATCGGTGTGAACCGGACCCAGCAGGTGCAGCAGAAGCAGCGAGTTTACATGCAAAGTCAATGGTTGACGCGCGTATAGGTGCAGCAAAAGGTCCCGCAGCGCGTTTTGAGCAGCAGGTGCAGCACGTCGGGAGCGTTTAAGCATCTGACGCACCGCCAACGCGCTGCTGCTGCTCGAGATGGAAAAATTGAAGTTTTGCTGCTGGACGCGCCGCATCAACCAATCAGAGAAGCTGATCCGGGAGCTGACAGCGAGACAGACACAGCGCTCTGATGACACATGATATTAAATGAAAAAGGCTGGATGGATGAGGAGATGATGAAAGCGTGGCTGTGCCCATCTCACAGCCGATGTGAAAAAAAAGGTGAATCAAATGAACGCTGTGCTCGCCGTTATCCCGGGGGTCTGACAAAGGAACTTCAACCGCTCGACATCGGTGTGAAGCGGCCGTTCAAAGTAAGGCTGCGAGCGGCGTGGGAGCGATGGATGACAGACGGAGACCACAGTTTCAGGATAAGTGGAAGGGAGCGCCGGGCGAGTTACGCCACCGTTTGCGGATGGATTGTAGATCCTTGGACTAACGTGTCTGCTGGCTCTGTTGTTCAAGCTTTTGCAAAAGCCGGCATTATTTCTGAGGAGCCGCGCTGTACGGAAAGTGACTCTGACAGCGAAGAAGGGAAATTGGCATGTCTGATTTAGCGCAGCTGTTTAATTCAGAAACAGAGGATGATGACTTTGATGGGGTTGATTAATACTTTGTAATAAATACATGAATAAAGCACAATCATACTCAGTTTTGCTCCCGCTCTATTTTTCTACCTGAAAACTTAATTCAACAGCAGCCTCTGGGCCGGGTCTCCTCCTCTTCACCGCGGTGGCTGGCAGGTGTTTTTTCATCTAAATAATCAAAATCTTGCAGCTATATTTGCTGTGATCAGTGGGAATAAAGTAGTTTTAATATGTTTTTAAGTGAGAAAGTCCACCTGAAAAC